CCTAGAAGTGACAATAGCACAAACCATGGAATCAAAATGCAGGTTTAAAAGCAAAAATGGTCTTCTGGGACAAGCCTCGACGTTACTGCCTGTGCAGCCTGGGATACCGTCCCATTTACAAACTGGGAAGGACCATGAAAACAGCTTTTCCTTCTCTCTAGAGGGGTAGGTTGCCCCTTGTCCCCTCTGTTTCCTACTGAGGGATGAAAAGGGGCAGTTGTCACCACTTTTACAAAATAATAGATGGCTGGCTGGGTTATAAAGAGGAGTCCATCTCTGGAGGAAGGAAACTGACTCACAGCTAAATTGGGAGAAGTTTGGGGACACAAAAGGCAGGAACTGGGTCCTTTGGGGACACAAGGCAACAGGAGGAGGGAGGCCCCCCCATCTGAAACAAAGCACAGATTTCCTCCTCCTTGTGGTCTGCGGTTAAGAATGGTGATGGCCGGGTCAGGACTGCCGGTGCTGCCATGCCCACGTCCCCCTCTCCTCACCTTCTCCACAGCTGTGCCCACGCGATGGACTGCACAGCCCTGCTCTGGCCATGGGCACTGGCGAGAAGCACATGAAGTGAGGGTGTGTCTCTCCCGGCTTCTGTACTCCCGCCTCAGCAGCGAAGCCGCTGCCTGGCTCTTGTTGAAACTACAGCATCGTAAAAAATGGGTGCCACTTGCAAAACAGAGCAACGTACAGAAGAGTCTCATTCACACGCACAGCCTCCCTTGAGGCAGCAGAAAAAGCAACTTTCCCAGGTCTCGGCCATCTGATGTACCCACAGAAGTCCCAGAGCCAGCGAGATGATCTATACCAAAGGCACTACAAACTGCCACATTGCTAAATGGCATCTTAGTTCCAGCTTTGTCTTGTTCCAAGCCCTGATCTATACCTTGTCATATACCCCAACGCTTATACATGAGCTGTCATGGAATAGGATCAAAGAGAAAGTCCACACCCAAGAAATGCCACGCCAGATTATTTTCCTCCCTTCATGTACAGGAACTTCATCTGAAGAACCTTCTCTCTACACAGGCATTACAGAAACACAGCTCCCACACAGAGCAGAAGGATGCAGCCACAGCTTAGGCCAGCCAACCAAAGCCAGCTTGCAGTCTCCCCCAGCACCATAACAGCAGTAAAGGCGGGCCAACGCCAGTTTTTAGGGTATGTTTTCAATCAAAATACGTACCTGCTATCACAGTAGGCTGCCCCTTTTCTGAACCTGTGCTACTGTCTTTACTGCTACTGTTACCAACGCTAATTAAAGCCAGCCCTGGGTTTGCCTATACATGCCGCAGTCTCTTTACTGTGTAGGCAAGCCCTGAGGTCCCAAGCCTGTCAGAAGTCTGAACAAAGCCCTCTGTCTCAGGAGCAATCTGAAAGCTGGTGTGACCATTTCAGGGCATTCTCACACAGAGGAAAACTACGCAGTGAATGCCCCAGTGAATTCCATACAGCTGCAGATGCTCGGCCGATTGTCAAAGGAGCTCTAAGCAAAAACATAACCAAACAGAAGGACTCTCAGAAATTAGGATACTGCAGTCAGTGAAAGTGAACTTGCACAGATTTACAAAGGGAAGTTTACATTGAATTTCCACACACACAGAGCTTTGCTGTCAGTGCACACTTTGCATATACTTGCCACTTGCCATAAATTTTCACTTGTTTACATCCACTTTTATAGTATCTTGGACCATATTATTTGATGCAGATTGTTACAACTGAGCTCTAACCCACTTGAATTAAGAACTTCTACGGGAAACTTAAGGAGGTTTAGAAGCATCCGAGAAATACGCAGATGCAGACTTTAATAAAGCTACTCAGCTGGAAAGAATTCCCAGAAAGTATCTTCATGCTAATGTCAGCCACTTTTTCTAAATTAATTTTGAAATAATTCATCATTCATCCTCCTCACCTCCTTCCAATTTACAGCAGTCATTGTAAACATTGCTAGGACAGCACAAGCAGATGATAGAACGCTTTCCTTTTAAGAAAGAAGACGGCGTAACTTCATACCTCTATGAACTTCACCATATTTGGTAAAGATTCAGTAAAGGTTTGCATTCTGTGACCGCTACAGGAACAGTAGTGGTCATTTCTGTATACCTTGAAGGGTTAAGAAAATTAACCCACCACTCAAAACCACACACAAAGCAAGTAGCTTATGGTAAACTAAATTTTTTTTTAAACATTTTTTTAATGTTATTAAACAACAGAAGCAATCAGGCAGGCACAGTGTTTTAGTGCTCCAGCGACTTTCATACCGGTTGCACTGGCTTATTTGGCATCTCATCTTGTCCCTGAACATGACCAAAGAGGTATTTTTGTTTGATATCGAAGAATATGGCACACAAAGCACCAAAGAGACAAGAGTCCTGGAACAATCTCGACTTGTCACGATTTCAGTTTTGTAAAACTCACACCATACAGAAATTAAGAGCATTAAAAGGAACAGCTGGCGGTAGCCAGGTGGAGATTAGACTTTTTCCTCATTAAAGATGAGGAAAAGGCCCCACAGGCTTACTTTAGACTAATGAAGGGTGAACTCAAACATCACCACAAAAGCAAATTCTCTTAAAAAGGGCAGGACAAACAAAGAATTCCTGGTACAAACGCACAGGATGCTGGGCAAGCTGCTTTTAACAGATGAGTTGTGCTTGTAAACGCAGAGAAATCCCTCCGCACATGCAGGGCAAACCTCAAAAATTTCACCCGGTTAAACAAGACTCCTCAGCCAGAAATGTAAAATTCTGGAACACAACCATATACAAGACACCTTTTCCAGCTGCAGAACGAGGCGCGGTACCACGGGATGGTGGTGAGCAACAAGTCACACGTCTGTACACGCAGCGTTTTAAAAATCCGATTTTCTCTGCTCATCTAGAAACAGAAGTATCACAAGCTTGTGATGGCAGAAAATTTTGCAAAGAGAAGTTTCAGAGAGCAAAGAGAACCTCAATGAGACCAAAAGGAAATGAAGACAAATTTCAAGACGCTGATAATTCTAGAAAAAGAATACAGATAATAGGACTCTGTTTAGCCATGTTATAAAAGCCATAGCAGCAGTGGTTGGGATTTGCTACTTGTTTTGGTAAGCCAACGAGGAAGCCAATGCAATGTCTTTACTAACTGGAGCTCCAAGTATACAGAATACGTGTGCAAACATGGCTGGTTTGGGGTTTTTTGTTGTTGTTGTTTTGGGTTTTTTTTTTTTAATGCAACCAATTAAGTCACAACCCATCAGGTACAAGCAAACTTTACATTTATGACAGAATGAAATGTTATGGGGAATGAAGCACATGATCAAAATCTAACATAGCAGACTCCGGAGAAGACCATCTACCCAGGTTTTAAACATTTGTTGAGCCAAGCAAAGAACTTTCTCAAGCTGAAGCATCTTTTAATGTGAAAGGAATTTGCACATTTAGGGTCTGCACTGAAAAAAAGCCTGCCCAAAAGCCTCTATAACTTATACTAAGATGTTTTCGAAGATGAAAACTGTTTTCTGTCTCATTCCACCCTTTATTAGAAGAACTGTGTGTGAAAAATTCTGAAACTGATTAGCTTGAGTCAGTAGCTAAATGCAACTCAAAATCTTCCAGAATAGGTCTTCCTCAGCAGCAGTACGAGCTACACACCCAGATTTGAACAGGAGGGTCATTAATCTGAGACTTGCAGTGGGAAAGCAAGCAGCAGGCACAAGGGAAAAACATTAAGAGGTCCTGTTCACTCTGTAACACTTGGGTGTCAGAGCCAAAAGGCACCAGAAGCATTCAAACTATCTCCTAGTGTTCGAACAGTTTCTTCAAATTGTGTGATTGCTAATCAATGCTGAGAAAACTCACTAGAATCTTCATTAACTCTATTTGTTTCAGAGATGGCAATTATATCAGAATCATGATTGGAAATAAATCAGTGCCAGTTTTCCAGCTTTTCTAACTATGATGACACACAGCTGTGGTTATTCTGACGCTTTGGAATCCAGAGAGAGAAAAATTTAGCCTTCTCCCTTGTCTTACTCTCCACAAAAAGTACTTGTTTGCATAATAAATATCTAGATTTACAGCAGTCAGAAGCAAACTCACAGGCTAATGAATAATAAAAAAAAAAAATCAAGCTGGCATTTTATTACATTGAGATTTCTTACTGATTGACAGCAATCATTAAGTGAAGTATAATAGGCTGGTAAAGCTGGACAGCTTGCATAGGTATTTTTAAACGAAGGAACTGAGAAAGGCGGCATAAATAATTTTAAACACAGAAATAATTGTTCACCTCAAAATTAGGACAGAACAAAAATAATTAACACATTTACATTCATTTATCCAAGGCCATCTCTTCATGAACAGAAGGGAGCAAAGACAACACCACACAGGAATAATACAACTTAAAATTCTCTCACATCTACTCCGAACAGGAACTAGAAAGTTTATTTAGCTTTTGTTCCCTTAAAAAGTTATTCCAGCCCCAGATCGGGGAGAGGAACCAGACCCGTCAAACTTTAAGCCATCAAATCTAACACTCTACCATGCTACTATTGAAAAAAATCAACATTTATAAAAATAAAGCTAACTAACTGTACAGCCTGTGGTCCCAGTTCTGACCCTTATAACAAACAGGGTGTAGACAAAACAATGGTCTATGAGGTGAGACTGGCCACAGGCAAGAGTTAGACAGTAGTTCAATTTACAAACCTGGGATCTAAGCTTGTCTTTGTAACAAGATTAGCTAGGCAAATCTGGGATAATTGGAGTTTACTACTTTTACCTGTTGCAAAGATCACATGAAAACATAAATAAAGACAATGACATTTTGTGACAGAAAAAAATACATACAAGAACCAATTTTTAAAAACCTAACAAAACAAAACAAAAAAACCCCCAAAAACCAAACAACTAGAAATCCCAAAATACCTAGTAAGACCAGCCTACTAATTAGGCAACAATTTATACAGCTAGACTGGAGAGACTTAGTCATCACCCATTAGAAATAGAATATGCAAAGGCCTAAAAATTTATTTTTATCATACACAATATATTGCAGCGGATATCCATAAACTCCAGCTGTTCATCAGCACGACAGAGGACATCAGATTATAAATCTAACGATTCAAGATACAGACGTGGTTTTGACATGGCATTTCTGAACCTTTGTTAACTGATGAACAAACTTCCATTTTTGCGAGCAGCTCTGATGACATGGGGTTAGTGTACTGAAGTATCTTCATTTACATTTCCTCAAGGCTTCTCTTGATAGCTTCTTCCAATTCTGCATCTTGCTCTGTATAAATACAAAAAACCGATTAGAATCTCAAACTATGGTTGATAACCAATTGTAAACACAACTACGTTAATATTACTACATAGAGCAACAAATTACTTCTGTGGGCAATGTCAGTAGACCGTGAGAGAAACAAAGTGAAAGTATTTTCCCTCCTTCTGTCTTATCCTATCTTTTCAACACTTCAAAATACAGGAACCACCTCTACAACCTTCCACTGTATTAACTAGGGGTGGCCCAATGATTAGTTCGAGAGTATAACGCAACTACATATTTACCGGTCAAAATAATACTAAGATAAGAAGCCATATGTGTGCACCACGAAAAACAAACAAAGTACTAAAGAGACAGACACATAAAACAAGCAGAGAGATTTCAGTATTTTCACTCCATTTCCTTATCAATAGCTATTCCTTTATCTACATTCTAACTTGGCCACCACTGTTGTCACTCTTATGAGGAAGGCCAGGCATAAGTAGACAAAAAAAAAAAGCCATATCAACAGTAAGGATGGTCTAGATCAGGGCTGTAACAGTTTTGATGGCGGTAGTGGGGAAGACTGCACTGCACTCATCCAAGTTGTTAACAACCTCTCTTAACCACCTTTCATAAAACTCCAAAAAGAAACTCTGTTTCTGCATCTCATTTTGGTCATCTTTGGCACTAATAGTTTGGTGTTAGTGAATTAAATATCATATGTAAGACAAGGTTTATATGCACAGTAAATATTAATACCAATGGTATAGTTGGAAAAATTAAAGACGCTTTCAGACACACTGTCATCCTCTGTCTTCTGCTTTAGGAGGACACGAGCTCATCCTACAAAAAAGCTGTCTGTTCTTATGACAAAGGAAACAGAATAATTACATATATTAACAGATTTTAAAACTCGAATTATTGTTGGGCTGTTTTACGCAAGGCCTAGATGTGGAGCAGAAATAGTAGCAATGAATGCGCTCTCATATCAGCAGAGCCATTTTCTGGACTTTACTGTAACAGAAGACATTTTGAAATAAAATGAAGCAGACAGCCATTTGCAGACAACTGCTTGCATTAAAACCAGTCACTACGCATGTCTACAAGTGAAGAATAAGGTCCCAACTGTCACCCTGCGGCTAACGGCATGCAGTAGCTCCACAGTGATCCTGGATCGTCCTCTACTCCCTAGAGCTGCTGAAGCAGCTTTTCCTGCCTCCTACGCTTGCTTTTTGCTTTCTCCTCTTCCAGCAGTCACTAGTGCCTTTTCCTTTTTACCTCTTTCTAGGGACGATTGTGCCTCCTCACTCCCTCTTACCCCATGACAGAACTGCCATTAACCACGCAGGCAGCCAGTGAACACGGCTGAAGCCAGGCTGCTTCGGAAGTTCAGACACCTTCAGCACTGCAGCATCCGAACTGGGCCCTCTCGTATGCACCAAACGCCACTGCTACCCCTGAAGGCAATACCCAGTGCCAGCGGGGTGCAAACTTTCAGTACTGTAGATGGCTGCGTTGGACATTTAATAACAATACTCAGTAATGGTAAATTTAGAACTTAATTCGGGGAATACAAGTTTCAGTTATCAGTTTCACCACTGGCCTTGTTCAAATTATTGACTTTTTTTGAAGTTCTTTTTATTTCCACCAGGTGGAAGGGCAGAGTCAAGCCCTTAAAAAGTAAATTATTTCCAAACGCACTGCATCTGTCACCAAAAATTAATGACTACATTGTATGAACACCACCACCAAGCACAACAGCAAAAAGATGAAAACAATTTGAAATAAGGTACGATATGATGTCAGCAGGCAGCTGTACTGCTGATTCAAACTTGTGTGTAAATCTACAGCTTGTTTAGGAGACCAGAGTGCTTTGTGGAGGATATAATACCCAATTTTGAACTATTTATTCAGAAGTTCAACTATTAGTCAGTAGTTCTACTCTGAGTCACCACAGTCACATTAAACTGCTACAAAGTGAGCTCTGTCAAGTCTTTAATTGCACAATACCCTGTGGTGCACCAGTAAAATAGATTTTGAGTCTGCTGGCATACTTTCTAGGTTAGGAAATTATTTTTTATTTGTAACTCATCACAGTCTTCTTAACTACTCAAGATGGCCCATCAGATTTTAGAGCGTATTCTTAAGAGGTCACTTGTCATAAAACTGATTCTTTGTTTCTGTATCTTCCATAATTAATAGCACTCCTCAACACAGAAAAGTAAAAATTAACAGACCTTCCTGTTTCTTTGCTTCTTCTAAGCTCCTCTTCACTGTTAGTTTGGTATCTTCGTCCTCGTCACTACACGAACCTTAAATGCAGAAATGAAACATAAATCACACATTGTTTCTATTACAAGTTAACAGTCTAGTCTTGCATTTCTCTTACTGTAACAACATTGTAGGTTGCATTTGAAGAAATACACTCATTATTATCTGAAAATCAAGATAAAACACCATTATAGTTGTAGTTTAAGACAGTAACCCAAGAGACAAGAGTTGTTCTCTTTCAGCTACCTTCTTCCCTTTCTCCTCAAAATCTAGAGGCAGAGTGCTTCAATTTTATATTGTTTTAAAGGACTAACAAGAAATAATAAGGGCAGAAACTACTGTTAGTGTCTACTGCATTTGCTTTTTCGTACGTTATTAAAAAAACAGACATTACTTTCTACAAAACATATCAAGGATTTAACCATGGGAAGAAGTGCTATAGTTTATCTCTGCCTACACATGACCTTAGCTGTATTTTGTTGCCTAAATACTCCATGTAAACAACGGAGCGCTATAACTCAACTGAGCAGTGCAAGTCAACGGATGTTCCAAGTCTGACAGAAGAAAAAAGTTGATACGCTTAGTTTAATCTGCTAACTCATCATAGCCAAGCCCAGCCAAAACTCCACCACCTTTTCCTTTCTAAATAACGCTCTTCAAAAGGCTTGTTTCCAGCTCCAGAATGACAGCTCTATTTTGAAGTATCTAGCAGGGATTGGTGTACCTAAGGTGTGGGGGTTTCGGTTTGGTTTTGTTTTAAATAGAGTCTCAGTAAACTACAGGTTAAAAGACAAACGAGTCAATGAGTCACATTATGTATTTATTCTCCTGCTACAGGCTACTGCTATTTTGGGAGATGGGCTCTGTAATGAGGTCTTACAGTATTCACAATCAACTAGGTCTCCTACGGTCATGCCAACAGAAGCGCTTCCCTTAAAGTCATCAGATTTATTGGTACATCGACGTACTTCTGATGACGTTTACCAGCAAAGGACATTCTGATACGGACATCTCATTTACTGACTGTGTGACTTCTGGCATTTTAAATGTCCCAAGTTAGGTATTCAAAGTGCCAGGTACACTTTCTAAAATTTCTTTTCAAACCTCTGACACATATACCTTGTTCAAACAGCAATGCTGCTGATCTTCCCAATTCCAGGAATACAAACTCCAACAGTTGGTATCAAACAGAGATCAGGAGCCCGCAAAGACGCCAGAAATAGCTGGACATACACTGCAGTTAACATGGTTTTTGTCCAGTCACTTGGCAGACTGACTGTGAATCCTTTTTGGAACTGCCTACTATCTCTGGGCGGAGAGATACTGGTTTTTACATCATCTTCCAAAGCAAACAAAGCAAAGAAAAATCCACAGAACCCCACAAAATGTCATTACAATCACTTATGAAAGGGAAGAAAAAATGCAAAGAAAAGGCATTGCATAAGTGGCTTCTCCCTTAATAACCATCCTTTTAATCTTCCAGCCCAGAAGACATCTCAGACTGCTCTAAAAAGTTTTGTACCTGTTAGAGGTGTAACAGTTGAAGCAAGCACTCCCTAACTTATTTCTTGGCATAAGTGTAATGGAAGAATTGAGTTCTTGTAAGCAGTAAGGCATAGTACAAGAGGGTCTCTGGTTTGCTGCCATTTCAAGTAAAAATGCATTAAGAGCACTTTTCTGAAGGTTTGTGAGGTTTTTTTAGGCAACTTGACAGAAGATGCTGGCAACAGGCAAGGCAATACTCTTCTGATTGGCAGCTTGCCTAGATGGTTCAACAGCAGAGGATAGTAGTAGTCAGAAATCCAAGAGTTCCTTTCAGATATAATGTAAAGAATTCAACCTGGAACTGGTTATAGAGTCAGGAAGCCACGATGGCAACCCCCTGCTATGCTGTTAGGGGACAGCACTTTCCTGCTTACTCCTGGCTTCCCCAGCCCAGGCAACAGGCTAACCTGGCACTCATTTTTCAGAATACAGCACACCAGCAGCTAAGTTGACTTTACTGTCAATTAGGGCAGTTATGAATGCTAAAACAGGATCTGTAGATAGAATTATTATTTTAGTTCATTAAGAAAGTTTAGGATTCATCTCATGCATTAACACAGGCCTCATCTTGCTGAAATGTTTTGCTCGTCGCACCACTGTAATTACAGTGCTGTAACAACCTGGGGTACACATTCATACTGGAACAGAGGTACATGCAAACTGGCACGCAGAGTTTTAAAGCAAGCTGTCTGCCCCATGATTTATCACTGCACCTGATACGCAATAAATAAATACTGCTTGACACAACATCACAGAGAACAGCTTTGCTTAAAGCATAGTTGAAGACAACACCATTCCACTGCCAGAAACTATGAAACTTGGAAACAATTAGTACTGATGATCTGCTGTTAGTTTGGGGGGGGGGAGGGAAATCAGCTCAGGTCAAATGTGGTTATGAAGCACATTAAGAATCTCATGAGCTACACTTTACCTTCACTGGCCATTATTTGCAAGACTCCTCTCCCCTCTACCTAACCATATTAATGCACATTCAACTTCCCATGAAGGCAGTCACTGGATTCTCTGAAATCTTTGAGCTGGTGAAAGTTAACCTATTAACAGGCTAACAAAGAGCCAGATCTTATTTCAGAGCTTTTCATGCAAAGACTTGTCAGTATGTCAAATTATACTGAGACTTATCCGAAACAAAAACCATGATCATGCTTGTCCTCAGTGCTACCCCCTGCCCCCATCCTCCTCAAACCTACACAGAACAAAGACTAAAGACACAAAAGCAGCAAAGATTAGGATTTTTAAGATGTTCTGATACGGCTCTATAGAAATCAAGAATAAGACTGTAACAGTCAGAAGAAAATCTGTCTGCAGGCAAAAATCCTAGACAGAAGTGCTCCAACAAATAAGGGGGTGGGGGGGAGGAATTCAGCTTCCTTTAGGGACTAGACAGCATGAACTGTTAGTGTGGAACTCATTACTTGTCAACCAAAGAGAAGGAAAGGCCAACTGATTAAAGAGACACATTTTCAAGTCAGTTTCTGACACCAGGCTGCTTTTCCACATGGGACAGGTCATTGTGCTTGATCTAATGATGCTCGTAATGTCTGCACCCTGTGACTGAACTCTGCTCTCAAGGAGACCTTGGATTCCAGTTAAGAATACACTCCATGCAAATATTACAGAATGGCTAAGGTTGGAAGAGATCTGTAGAGGTCATCTTGTCCAGCCCTGCCCCTGCTTAAGCAGGATCACCCCGAGCTGGCTGCCCAGGACTGTGTCCAGATGGCTTTTAAGTATTGCCAAAAAAAGAGACTGTACTGGGGAGCTCAGAACTTGACAGTTATGGCCTTGCCAGTGCTGAATAGAGGGAAAGGACCACCTCTTTCAACTTGCTGGCAACAGTCTTCCTAATGCAAGCCCAGGGTACTGCTGGCCACTTTCGCCATGAGAGCACACTGCTGGCTCTGGTCAACCTGGTGTCCCCCAAGTCCTTTTCTGCAAAGCTGTTTTCTAGCTGGTTGACCCCTCGTCAGCGTATACTGGTGCCTGGGGTTGTTCCTCCTCAGGTGCAGGACTTCGCACTTCTTGTTGAACTTCATGAGGTTCCTGTCAGCCCACTTCTGTCCTGTCAGGGTTCCTCCGGATGGCAGCACAACCCTTTGGTGTATCAGCTGCCTAGTTTCGTGTCATCAGCAAACCTGCTGAGGGTACACTCTGCCCCACTATCTAGGTCATTAATGAAGACATTAAACAGGACCAGACCCAGTATCGACCCCTGGGGTACACAGCTGGTTACTAGCCTCCGACTGGACTTCATGCCACTGATCACCATGTTCCAGGTCTGGCCATTCAGCCAGTTCTTAATCTACCTCACAGCTTGCTCATCCAGCCCACACTTCATCAGCATATACTCCTGGTACTGCTAGAATCTTCTGATGATGAAGAGTAAATAAGAACATTTAGTTTGGAGAAATCAGGCATGTCCTGTCTCTCTTGTTAAAATGCTTAGCACGTTCTGTAGATCCTAACCCCTCTGGGGTCAGAGGAAAAGCAATTGCCCAGTTTCTCAGCCAAGAGATCTTAAGATACGGCCTCTTCTCTAGCACATTTTGTTAAATAAACAACAGCTAAGATGCTCTGACCATACCTATTCTCTCAAAGAAATCCTACTGCTTGCTATTGTACTCACATATTGCCAAATTCCTGCTAAAAGAACAAAAAAAGCAAGAAAGCAAATTCTAGATGAATACAGAGCTCAGAGATCGGAAAGATTAACCCTATAGATGGGAGCAAATGGTGATTTTTTTTTTTGACATTTCATGAGTCTCACAGAAATCTATTCTGGGAAGAGACTGGTAAACTTTCACAGAATGCAAGCGCCACCCACTGTCCTGACATCAAAGCGCCACAGCATGAACTTGGATTAGCTGCCCACACAGCTCAGCATAATTCCCCTCCCTATCTAATCCTTTTCTCTTGCAACCTCCCTAGTTACCACCATCCCCTGAATAATTTCCATGAGGTTTACCGGTTCCTCTGTCTCACCAGACACTTGATTTCCGTTCCCCAGCCTTAGTCCTCCCTTGCCGCACAACTTCTTAACACTTCTCTCTCCTACAATGCTCCTTTTCTTAGTCTTTTCAGCAACTCCCAATCTCATCTGCATCCTTCCCATCCCAATGTGCAGTGACATTAATATCACACTTAACTCAGTGTCTCTCCAACCACTGACCCTTTTCTTTTTGCAGTTGATGTCTGAAGTGTTAGTGCTACCTTACCTTAAGGATACCATTAGAGTTACCTCACTCAGGATCCTAGTAACTTCTTAGCCAAAAACTTAAGATCAGTCCTCCACCCTTACTTTCGCTAGCAATCACATTCAGTATGTGTGATCACGCTGCCTTTAAAATATTGTTCCTTGGTTTCCCAAATCCTTTTCTTTATCCCTTCTTCAGTATGTCCCTGGAGGATCCTCCCCACATACCCCTCCACAGTACTTACTGCTCTAATCTCAGTCTCTTCATTAAGGTAACATCATCTG